AACTGCAAGAGGCTTCTCCAGGTTTAGGGACCCCCCCCCCCTGAGAGCAAAAATTTTTGTGCTCCAGCCTCTAGTGCAGTTAATAACCCAGATGGATGAGAAAATCATCAATTTCTGAAAGACTGAAGCAGAAATAAAAAATGATATAGCAACAGTAAAAAAAAAACCATGATGGGAGGTTTCAACAGTAGACTAGAAGAAGCGGAGGACTAAATTAATGAGTTAGAAGATAGGGTAGTTAAGCACACCCAATCTGAACAGCAACTGAAGAAAAATAGAAAGCAGGAGAAGATCCTAAGGAAGCTTTAGGACAACTGAAACAAAGTAACATATGTAAAATAGGAGTGTCAGAAGGACAGCAAGAGGAACAAGGATCAGAAAAAGTAACGATAGAAAACTTCCCTGATTTGGGGAAGAAAAAAAATGATACAAGCACAGATAGTCCCAAACAAAATAAACCCAAAAGACCCACACCAAGACAAGTCATAATTACAATGGCAAACATTAATGACAAAGAGAGAATATTAAAGGCTGCAAGAGAGAGACAGAAAGTTACCTACAGAGGATCTCCCATTATAGTAACAAATGATTTCCCAACAGAAACACATCAGGCCAGAAGGGTATGAAATGAAGTACTAGTATACAAAGTGATGCAAAACAAGGGACTGAATCCAAGAATACTCTTTACACCAAGGCCATCATTAAAAATTGAAGAGGAAATCAGAAATTTCATAGACAAAAAATGCAAAGGGAGTTTATCACTATCAAGCCAGCAATGCAAGAAATGCTAAAGGTACTGTTGTAAAAAGAAGACATAGAAAGGGAAGAAGGAACACAGACATAAAGAATAGAAATAGGTTCAAACATGTACATGTCAATAATAACTTTAAATGTAAATGGACTAAATGCTCTAATCAAAAGACATAGAGTGGCTAAAAGGATAAGAAAATATGATTCCTATATATGCTGTCTACATGAGACCCACCTGAGAACAAGGGACTCACACAGAGTGAAAGTGAAGGGATGGAAAAAAACCCATTTTCAGGCAAATGAAAATGAAATAAAACTTGGTGTAGCAATACTTATATCTGACAAAATAGACCTCAAATTGAAGTTCAATACAAGGAATAAGGAAGGCCACTTCATAATACTAAAGGAATTGATACAGCAAGAGGATATAATTCTGGTAAACATATATGCACTCAATACAGGAGCACCCAAATACATAAAAAAAAAAACTTCTGGGAGATATCAATAAAGAGATCAACAGTAACACAATCATAGTAGGGGATTTTAATACCCCAATGACATCACTGGATAAATCCTCTGGACAAAAAAAAAAATCCATAGAGAAACAGCAATTCTAAATGACTCACTAGATCAAATGGACTTAATTGACGTCTTCAGAACATTTCACCCCAAAGCTACAGAATATACAGTCTTCTCAAGTGCACATGGAACATTTTCTAAGATAGACCACAGAGTGTGACACAGGCAAAGTCTCTTCAAATTCAAGAAGATAAATCTTCTCGGATCACAGTGGCATAACACTAGAAATAAACAAAAACAATCACAAAAATCCAAACACTTGAAGGCTAAATAGCATGTTATTAAACAATAATTGGGTTACCAAAGAGACCAAAGAAGAAATAAAAAAACATTCTGAAAACAAATGCCAATGAAAACACAACAATCCAAAATCTATGGGACACAGTGAAAGCAATCCTGAGAGAGAAATACATAACTCTATAGGCCTACCTCAAAAAAAAACAAAGAAAATTTGTAACAAATTATCTAATTCTACAACTTAAAGAATTAGAAAGAGAGCAGCAAGGAAAGTCCAGAGTGAGCAGAAGGAAGGAAATAAAGAGCATAGCAGAAAAAAATGACATACAGACCCCCCCCCCCAAAAAAAACCGACCAAACAAAAAAAAAAACTATAAAAAAAGATCAATGAAACCAAAAGCTGTTGTTATTGTTTACATATGACTTTGTTAATTTCAGAGAGGGAGGGAGATGGAAAGAAACATCAATGATGAGTGGGAATCATTGATTGTCTGCCTCCTGCATGTCCCCTAATGAGGATCAAGCTCACTACCCAGGCAAGTGCCCTTGACCACAATTGAACTTAGGACCCTTTAGTCCACAGGCTGATGCTCCATTCACTGAGACAAACAAGGTAGGGCTAGACCTGGTTCTTTGAAAGAGTAAATAAGATGGATGAACCTCTAGCCAGACTCACCAAGAAGCTAAGAGAGAGGACCGAAATAAACAAAATCAGAAATGAAAAACGTGAAATAACAACATAATCCATAGAAAGACAAAGGATTGAAATAAAATACTATGAAGAACTATATTCCAACAAACTGGTAAACCTAGAAGAAATGGACATATTCTTAAAAAAAAAAATATGAACTCAATCAGGAAGAATCAAAAAATTTGAATAGCCCAATAACCATAGAGGAACTTGAAGCAGTAATCAAAAAACTTCCAGCAAAGAAAAGCCCTGGGCCAGATGGCTTCACAGGAGAGTTTGACCAAACATTCAAAGAAGAACTAAAATTTATTCTCCTCAGACTATTCTAAAAAATTCAAGAGGAAGGAATACTTACAAGCTCTTTCTATGAAGCCAGCATTACCCGAATCCCCACACCAGAAAAAGACACTACAAAGAAAGAGAACTACAGGCCAATATCTAACAAATAGAGATGCTAAAATCCTCAACAAAATCCTAGCAATTTACATCCAGCATTACATTAGAAAGATCAGACACCTTGATCAAGTAGGATTTATTACAGGAATGCAAAGATGGGATTTATTCTGGGGATGCAAATCAATAAACATGATACATTACATAAACAAATTGAAAGAGAAAAATCACATAATCATATTAATAGATGCAGAAAAATAATTTGACAAAATGCAACACCCTTTCTTGATAAAAACTCCCAGCAAAATGGGAATGGAGGGATCATACCTCTACATAATAAAAGCTTTATATGACAAATCTGTAGCCAACATCATACTCAATGGGCAAAAACTAAAATTGATTCCCCTAAGAACAGGAACAAGACAGTGATGCCCACTCTCACCGCTCCTGTTTGACATAGTACAGGAAGTGCTAGCCATGGCAATCAGAGAGGATAAAGAAATAAAAGGCATCTAAATTGGAAAACAAGAAGTAAAACTGTCATTATTTGCAGATGCCATGATATTGTGCATAGAAAACACAAAGGACTCCATAAAAAAAAACTACTAGATTTAATAAATGAATTCAGAAATGCAACAGGATAAAAAAATCAACTCCCAGAAATCTATGGCTTTTTTTGTTCACCAATAATGAACTCACAAAAAAAAAGAAACAGCAACAAAAACAATCCCATTTACCATTGCAACAAAAAATTAAGATACCTAGGAATAACCTTAACTAAGGAGGTAATATACCTGTACTCTGAAAACTACAGGACCTTGAAAAAGAGATAGAGGAAGACATAAACAAATAGAAGAATATACTGTGTTCATGGGTTGGTAGAAAAAAATCATTAAAATGTCCATATGCTTTTTACGAAGATGGCGCCGAAAGCTAAGAAGGAAGCCCCTGCCCCTCCCAAAGCCGAAGCCAAAGCAAAGGCTTTGAAGGCAAAGAAAGCAGTGTTGAAAGGCGTCCACAGCCACAAAAAAAAAGAAGATCCGCACGTCACCCACTTTCCGGCGGCCAAAGACACTAAGGCTCCGGAGGCAGCCTAAATACCCTCGGAAGAGCGCACCCAGGAGAAACAAGCTTGACCACTATGCCATCATCAAATTCCCCCTGACTACCGAGTCTGCCATGAAGAAGATAGAAGACAATAATACACTAGTGTTCATTGTGGATGTCAAGGCCAACAAGCACCAGATCAAACAGGCTGTGAAGAAGCTCTATGACATTGATGTGGCCAAGGTCAACACCCTGATCAGGCCTGATGGCGAGAAGAAGGCATATGTTCGACTGGCTCCTGACTATGATGCTTTGGATGTTGCCAACAAAATTGGAATCATCTAAACTGAGTCCAGCTGCCTAATTCTAAATATAAAAATTTTACACTATAAAAAAAATAATAATAATAATAAAATAAAATAAAAATAAAATGTCCATATTACACAAAGAAATCTATAGTTTTAATGCAATCCCCATTAAAATATCAACTGCATATTTCACAGATCTGGTACAAAAATTCCAAAGATTCATATGAAATTAAAAAATCCCTGCATAGCCACAGCAATCTTGAGAAATAAGAACAAAGTTGGAGGGATCACAATACTAGATATCAAGTTATATTACAAAGCCACTATTTTCAAAACTGCCTGGTACTGGCTCAAGAATAGACATATAGACCAATGGAACAGGACAGAGAACCCAGAAATTGACTCAAGTCATTATGCTCAATTAATATTTGTTAAAGGAGGCTAAAGCATACAATGGAGTCAAGACAGTCTTTTCAATAAATGGTATTGGGACAATTGGACAGATACATGCAAAAAAAATGAAACTAGACCACCAACTTACACCATGCATAAAAAACCTCAAAATAAATAAAGGACTTAAATTTAAGACAAGAAACCATAAGAATATTAGAAGGACCCATAGGCAGCAAAAATATCAGACATATGTCATAGCAATATCTTTAACTGATTCAGTCGTAGGACAATGGAAACTAAGGAAAAATAAACAAATGAGACTACATTAAAATAAAAAGCAAAAAAGAAAAAAAACACAAAAATCAAAAAACAAAACAAAACAATAAGAAAGCCCACTGCACGGGAGAACATAATTGCCAATGTTATATCTGATAAGGGTTTAATCCCCAAAATTTATAGGAACTCATACATCTTTAAAAAAGGAAGATAAACAATCCAATCAAAACATGGGTAAAGGAGTTAAATAAATACTTTTTGAAAGTGGACATACAGAAGGCCAAGAGACATATGAAAACATGCTCAAAGTCAGTAATCATCTGAGAGATGCAAATTAAAACACAACGAGATACCATCTCACACCTGTCAGAATGGCTATCATCAACAAATGACAAATGCTGGCGAGGATGTGGAGAAAAAGGAATCCTCATGCACTGCTGGCAGGAATGAAGACTGGTGCAGCCACTGTGAAAAACATTATTGAGTTTCCTCAAAAAATTAAAAATGTAACTGCCATTTGACCCAGTAATACCACTTCTAAGAATATATCCTAAGCAATCAGAAACACCAATCAGAAAGGACATACACACCCATATGTTCACAGCAGCACAATTTACAATAACTAAGATTTGGAAACAACCTAAGTGCCCATCAGCAGATGAGTAGATTAAAGCATATTATACTTTTATTATTATAGATGTACACACATACACCATACCATATACTGCTATTGTCCAGTTCCTCACTTACTTAACTGAAGGAATATTCACTTCTAGTCAACAATATAATGGAGATTTTAGACAAGACAAATCAATTAGTGGTATAAGAATAAGAAAGTGATAAAGAAACTGTGGTACATCCAAAATGTGAAATACTACCCATTAGTAAAAGAGAAGAACTCTTGGTAGAAGGAACTTGAATGATTATCAAAACCATTATGCTAAGGAAGGCAGTTTGAAAAGGGACTTTGTTTTACTTTCTCTAGATTCACAGCATCTGATATGAAATCTTTCACAAATTTTAAACAATCGCTGACGGTTAATTATTGAATAAATACTGCAATACTCTTCAGAAAAGGGAAGGTGCCTCATTCTTTCATCATATTAATCACAATGCATGGTATTTTTCAAGTACCTTATTTTCTGCCTTCTGCCCTTGGAGACAAATGGGTAAGAGTGTTTTGAGGGTATTTCATAAGAGCTTCTCCTCTCCGTGAAGCTTCTCAAGAGCAGAATCTCTAACTTTGCCTCATCTATAGCATTAACCTGATGCAAGGATAAGAAAAACTGAATGCATTTACTCAGAGTTAACCACAGAGCTGTTAAAGTCTTTTTTCACATTAAACCTGTATACTTTTATTGCAAGGTATATGTGACTCTTTGTTTAATATATGCTTCTAGAAGCTTGTGATACAACGGGTTGTTAATGGCGTATCTCAGAAATTTGTCTAAAACACCATGATGAAACAATAGACACAGTGTGCACATATTTTTTGGAAAGAAACCAAACCTGTCTTACTGTGAGTTCTATTTCAGAAAGAATCATGAGCTTCTTTCTGTGGTTTTTACTCATATTATTGAGACTTTGCTAACTTTTGTTAAATGTTTAAGCTAAATTCATTTGTTTTGGGGGGAAAGGAGAGTTATATATCCTATTGGGGACAAAATGGTATAGGGCAGTGATGGCGAACCTATGACACACGTGTCAGAGGTGACACACAAACTCATTTTTTTGGTTGATTTTTTTGTTAAATGGCATTTAAATATATAAAATAAATATCAAAAATATAAGTCTTTGTTTTACTATGGTTGCAAATATCAAAAAATTTCTATATGTGACATGGCACCAGAGTTAAGTTAGGGTTTTTCAAAATGCTGACACGCCTAGCTCAAAAGATTCGCTATCACTGGTATAGGGCATGGAAAAGCCAATTTCAAGATGGCAGAGTATATGACAATAGCAGATGACCACCAGGACATGCTGGTAGAACATGGAGATGTGCTTTTGAAAGTCCTATAAATTATTAGGGTGAGAGTACCCAGTAGAAAAAGAGTTATCTTCAAGTATTGTTATCCTTATATTAAAGATTTTTTTTTATAAACCAGGAAACTCACAAAGGTCTCAAAAACATTGGTTACACACAATTTCTATCAGCACTTAATGAATGAATTCAAGGAGGATGTGCTCTTTGATAGGCAGATGAGTTAAGAATGTGTTTCAAACTTTCAGGGAAATGGAGGTGTCTTAGTGGGTAGACCAAGTAAAGCTTCAAAACAACTTGAACTTTCACCAAAAAGTGAAATTCATCTCTATGACCTTTGAAGAAGTATTATTGGTATTTTCTCAGGTAAAACAGATTCCAGTTTTGCACACATATGAGAGAATAGAAAAGTTTTATTATAGTGAAAATAAACAATTCAAGTGGGTGAGGACAGCATAGTGCAGGTGACCCATCTTGCTTTATTATTCAAAATGATAGAGGTGTGATGGCAACAATTAGTTTCACATAGTAGAGAGCTAGTTATTCAGCAAAGTGGTTACATTGAGGTTGAGTAAAGAGGTTCTATAAAAAAATATGAATATACCAAAACTACTGCTCTCTTATCTATTGAATCTCTGTCTTTACTCTTTCTGGCATTTCACTTACTTGTGCACTGAGATATATGTTTTCCAGACAATTCATTGTTCTTCAGTGGGCAGATGATAAGGAACAATTTGAATCCTTCCATAAAAATGTAATTCAACAAATTTATTTTCATCTTGAGAGAATCTCTAACTATCTGCATCTATAGATTACCTAAAGCAAACAACTGATTTTTTTCTAACCACATGGGTAAAATGATCATTTTGGTTATAAAGGAAAAAATAAAAATAAAAGAGGTAGAAATGACAGATGGAGATTATCTGACAATCTAGAAAGGATCTAGAGGGAAAAAGTTTACTAAGGATGAACATAGAAACCTTGGGGTTATCGTTTTTGGGCTCCTGCATTCTTTTTCTCCTGTCACTGAGAAAAAGATCAGAAGATAGGGAGCATCCATACTTTCTGTTTGGAGTTTTACAAATTGAGAATGTGTCCCTCCCATTAAGTAAATAAAATATCTACCAATTGTTAATGATGAGAGAGAAACGGAAAGGTCGTGTGGAAGGGGAAAATAAGACACCAACACAAAAGGCAGGTGAATGGCCAACGGCGGCCTTTGGTCGCCGTTCCAACCTATTTATTTCCTTCAAAGTTATAAAATCAATCATTGTTGCTAAGTACAGTTACTAAAACATAAGTAAATTACATAAAACCATCATTAATCAATATTGCCCCGTTACCAAGCTACTCATTAATATAAACTTGCCCCGTTGTCCTAGTTACTAATATAAACTTGCCCCATTGCCCCAGCTACTAATAACAATTTGCCCCACTGCCCTAGCAGCTGATAACAAATAGAGGATAGACATCTAGGGGTCTTACAGTGGCCACACACCTGGAGCTCGTAGTTTGCTACAGCATCTACAGATGCGCTCCCACATAAGGTCTGATTTGGGTAATGAGTTATATGCGGAAGAAACACCCCAAAATACAAGGGAAATATAGAAAGATTTTCATTAGCTTAATCTTCCTTGAACAAAAATGAGAATACAAAGAAAGCAATCTCCATTATTCTCAAGATTAAGTAAGTATCCCATTCTGTCTCTTAACTTCACTTCTGGCATTTTGCTGCCTTAAAACACAGTAATTTTCTGTTTCTTCAAATACCCTGCCCACTCTGCCTTTCTCTTTTCCTGCTCCAGTTTATCCGGTAGATTTATCATTTTCCCTCCACACTCCTCTCTTTGCTGTTTTTTTTTTCTCTCTCAAGCTCAGCTCTGTATTTTTCTTGTACCATATAGCTTGAATCTGTTTCTGAATCTCCACTTCTGCCCTTTGGTACATCTTATTAGATTAGACTCCTCCCTTGTTCTGTATCACCATGCTCTGGACCAGGTCCAGCAGCTGTGCCCTGTGAACCCCCTTCTCAGCTCCTGTTGTCTTATTGTTGAACTCACAGTGATGATCCTTGAACTTCTCCATCAAATCTTGAATGCCTTCTGGATCCTCCTTTTTAAAAAAAATATATATATATTTTATTGATTTCTTACAGAGAGGAAGGGAGAGAGATAGAGAGTTAGAAACATCGATGAGAGAGAACCATCAATCAGCTGCCTCCCGCACACTCCCCACTGGGTATGTGCCCGCAACCAAGGTACATGCCCTTGACCAAAATCGAACCCGAGACCCTTGAGTCTGCAGGCCAGCGCTGTATCCACTGAGCCAAACCGGTCAGGGCTGGATCCTCCTTTAAGTAATCATGGAAATCCATGCCAGCTAATTCATCTTTCTGGGTGAATCAGAGAATCATGTATTTTCTA